CCCAATACATTTTTTTTAACTTAAATTTATTAAATTTAACACAACACATCAGCTGTGATTTTGTGATCTGATACGTTTCTGATTCATTTGGGGTATATAGGTTAAAAATATATATTTGGTCAAATCAGCTTCATTATACTGACCCTTCTTAAGACTGAGTCATTCAACACAACAACAGCAAAAACTCAATTTCAAAACATGCATTTCCTTATTTCTAAGACGTGCTAAAACAGCAAAGTCAAACTACCAAATGGGTGAATCAAGGGGAAACTCCAGCAGCCATCTGCAGTCATTCTGAGTCTGTGTGGGTGTGCAGTTGAGATCAGACAACCTCCATTTGGATAAATGTAAAAGGTGCTTTAAGTTTCACTTCATTTCACACAGTGATGTGAAACCTCGGCCTCAATATGTGGAAGAAACCATGGATCCTGAATCTGTTTGGGTCCCGGAGTAACAGGAAGTAACTGTTATACTAGGAGTAGGGGTGGAACGGTACATGTATTCGTATTGAACCGAAACGGTACGGGCGTCACGGTTCGGTGCACGAATTTGCACGCAGAATACACGGTACAAATAATAAAAAAAACCTCTTAAATAGCGATAAATTTCGCTCTATTCGCTTTTGGTGTGACTGTTAACGCAGCAATGAACAGGCTGCGATCAAGATTGCAATGCAGGAGTGTGTGTGTGTGTGTGTGTGTGTCTGTGTGTGTGAGAGAGAGAGAGAGAGAGAGAGAGAGAGAGAGAGAGAGAGAGAGAGAGAGAGAGAGACGATGAACAGTGTGTGTGTGCGAGAGAGAGAGAGGCGCGATCGAACAGTGTGTGTGTGTGCGCGCGTGCGAGAGAGAGGCGCGGGCGCGAATCGCGCGATGAACAGTGTGTGTGTGTGTGTGCGCGCGTGCGCGAGAGAGAGAGAGAGAGGCGCGGGCGCGAATCGCGCGATGAACAGTGTGTGTGTGAGAGGCACGGGCGATCGAACAGTGGAAACGTAAAAACATAGTCCGTCATTTTTTTCATACAGGACATCATTAAAACTGCAAATTGTTTACTTATATTTGTGTACACTCGCAATAAAACACAACATTGTGCTTTTGTCACACTCTAAACTCTTGTCAAACTGTAACCTACAACTGTTAACAAAAGTTTTTATGGTAGTATTATTTTATACGGAAATCAATTATTTATAATTCAGATGAGAATAAAGTTAGTTAATTAAAATGAAGGAAAACAAATATCTTGATCTGAAATAGCAAATTAATTTTAAATTCATTCAGGTACAATTACCAAACATATCTCAAGGTCTTTTCGTCTTTTTAATAATTTAATTAATAAACTAATTATATAAAACTACTGTCAGTGCACTACAAATAAACTGGTTCTATGCCTTTATTAATAAAACTTATTTGAAAAAATACAAGGTTTAAGACATTTATAAAAATGCCTTCTGCATTTTTGCTTTGCTTTTCACTCCATTGTACCGAAATCGTACCGAACCGTGATGTCTGAACCGAGGTATGAACCGAACCGTGACTTCTGTGTACCGTTCCACCCCTAACTAGGAGTCATACAGTTAAACATAATCGACCGAAAGCTGCTAAAGAGCCACATGTTGCTTGTCAGGTCTTTTGCAATAAACCTGATCAATGCTAAAACACACACACTGTGAATGACAGTTTCCGCAGAAGTGCTGTAGAAAATGCACCTGGGAATGCATCTGTTCAATTGTGTCAGTCAGACCGCTGCCTTTTTCCTGTGTGTGTATTGATTTTCTACACAGTCTTCTACTCAAAAACACTTTTATTCCTCCTGCAGAAATGTACAACGAGCGTTGTGGTACTTTAATTTAATCAAATGAAACAAAATCAAGTCAGACAAACATTAAGTCAAAAATGATTAAACTCTATTGTACTCAACCTCAGGTCTTTAGAAACCTGTATGACTTTCTTTCTTTCATGGAGAACAAAAGAAGTTTAGCAGGATATTCAGGCTGCTCTTTTCCATTCAGAGAACTTAGTGACTGGTCTCTCTCTATCCATTTTCATTAAAAACAGCCGCTATTTCAGGTTTGGAACAACACAAATGTGAGTAACGACATTTCAACATCGATTCTCTGATGAAATATATTTTCTCAGTATCTGAAAAACTAGTTCTAAGAGGGCAACGCCTCCTTGACCACCACAGGAGTTTTACCCTGGTTTTACAATGCATAACCATGAGCACAAACAGAAAACAAGATAGGACTGTGTTTTCTAATTCATCTTCTAAAAGGGGGGCCACGGACTGGAAATACGGGCCATGTTTCTTTCCTCTGAAAAATGCCTACTGGGCATCTTCAGATTTTCACCAAATCACTCTCCAAAAGCATATATAAATATAATAATATATAGGCCTATAACATAAATAATATAATAGTTTTATAAATGTATTTATATTTAAAATGTAAAAAAAAATATTTTAAATATAAATTAATGTAAATATATTGCATACTTAGCCTATATTTAACTAAATGAATTTATAACGTAACATAACATAACATAATATAATATACGCAACGTACCAAAAAAGTTTGATAAGCTATAACAATAAATATGAGACTATTACAGACTGAAAAAGTGCTGACGCAAGACGAAAACTTGATTTTGTGTAGGTCAAAGTCTGGGCGAAAGTCTCTCAGTGGTAAATTAATTTAAACAATAAGTCAAGGTCCATAGAGTGCATTTTTAGGAGGCCTTGAGCGCCACTATTCCTCCAAAAAATGCAGAGTGCGCAAACAACACGTACAAGCTCTAAACGTGTTCACCCTGAAGGGCATGGCCAAAAGTTACGACCCTTTTGATATGCCATCCCACACACCTTTATTTTATCACGCTGACTGGTCGACATCGTGGAAGTGAGATATTGCTTATCGAATGAGGAACACCATAAACCCACATTTCACCATTTTACCAAATGCCTCTTGCGTCATTTTGAATGAATAGAGTAGTATTGCATTTCATCTGGATACGCTCCACTGAGGGAATCAATAATGCAGGTAGGTTGGACTCAAGAACTGACACTACAATGGCAAACAATAGTGAAACCATTTGGCACAATGTGCACTCGGCAGCAAAAGGGAACCCAGGCCTCATCCTAACAATAAACCAAGACTTAATTCAAGTTTCCACAACAAACTGAACACATTAGAAATGGATAGACGTGACTCGATCAACCTGTGCAATTGGAGGGTCGACTGTCTAAGGTGCCAGTCACACCATGGACAATAACTATAACGATAACTATAAAGTTGTAATAAATATTCTAATTCTAAAACAATACGAAAGTCCACGCCACAACTGAGGAACGGTATTACTGAAATTGCTGGTACAATAAAAACATTGACAGCCAATCAGAATCCATCAAACTTTTAAAGAGCTTGAGTATTTAATGCAGCAAATGATATAACTGAAGAGCGAGTTTAATAAACAGAATGTTTTTGTGCATTGGTGCATGGAAGCTTATATAGTTATCTTTATAGTTAGCAATGTTGGCGTGAATGGGCCTTAAAAGTTCTAGAGATTTCAACACAACTGGGGAATGCATTTTTGGAAAGTTTTACATATCTTCTGCACATCCTTGTGTTGTGTATTAAATTAAAGAGATTTCACCCAAAAATGAAAATAATTTACTATCTGAGGTCACAATTGTCTGTGTTTTTCTGTCAATGCAATGAAAAGTCATTGGGTCCAATGCTGTTTTAAACCCCAAAATGCCCAACAAAAGAATTAAAGTCATACAAATTTGGAACAACATGAGGGCGAGTAAATTTATGACCGATTTTGTCATTTTTTAGTGAACTATCCCTTAAAAAAAAAGTGGCCAATATGGTTTGGCAGACGTCTCAGCTCTTTTACCATGTAATTCCACTGAAATTCTGCAGATTTTGTTCTAGCACAAAAAGTCCAAATCAGTTGATCTAGGCCTGGTGATGCGTTACATTACGCTCAAAATCAGCACAGACACACGAGGGGACACAAGTCACCTACCCAATATTATGATTTAATGTCACGAATCGATGAACGAAAGATCTGTTTATCCATAATTTGATGTACTTCCAATTGTAACGGCTTTTCGGGGAAAAAAACAGGGAGGAGACTTGGTTCTATGCATTGCTTGTTGATTGGATTTTTGAGATGAGGCCATTGCTCTCAAAAATGGAGGCAGAAAATTTAACAACACTTAGTCCGACCTTCCGGCCTTTGAAGTCAGAGTCCTTAAAAGGATGTAGCCTTTGAATTGGGACACAGGGCATGACAGGGTTGGGAACCACTGCACAAGAAGAACTAGTTACAAGTAATATTAATTGTAAAAAAAAAAAAAATTTAAGAAACAAACATGCAGAGTGAGTGAGCAGAGTTAATTTTCATTTCATGTTGACTTTAAAATCTATCAACATGGAGTTTTCATATTTCAGACTCTTAAACCTTACATTTCTCTCCCAAAATCATAAATATCTGGATAAATCCTTGGGTTACATGTGGTCCTGAAAGCATCCTACTAGACTATTTGATAACTGAACTTGATAACTTGAAACTGACATTTAAGTGTCAATCAAATACAACATTAGGTTGGAAATGGAGTCAGGCTGTCATGCCTGTAATAAGTAAATCCACTTATTACCAACGATTCAACCTGTCTGAAACGGGATGAGGGGTGGTTTCATCCAGAAGACATTTAGAACGAGATTTAGCCAGCTCTCTATCACACTGACCCATAAAAACACATTAAGATGAGGCCAGACAGACTCGTTTGGCTGGAGACATGACACCCAAAGCATGTTTTGACATCAACCCAGTGGAACAGCATTTTCTCTGGCAAGCTGTCAAACCCCAGTTATGACCCATCAGCATGTGTCATCCAGCACAGCCACATCAGCAGGAATCATCCCAGCCTTAGACCAACGGTTTATATTTATCAGACATCGATATGTATGTAAAGTGTGTCAGTAAGGGATCAGCTCTGACCTGGAGAGGTGTTTCAGGATCTGTTTCTTGATCAATCCAGCCATGACCGGTATCTCATCAATCACTTATCCAAGGACGGGCGGTAGAGTTTGGTAGCTATACATTTTAGGTTTCCTCCGGTCAAACGGAGTATTTTCTTTTGAATACTGAAGCGTCGTGATAGGCGAATATAAACATGACTCGTAGACGCGTCCGTCGCTACCGCTTTACCGTCGGGTCCATGTTGAATGCGCAGTGACGCGTCGGTGGACAAGGGCGCATGCGCAAGAGCACCCCACGAAAATGAGGCTCGCCCAATTCCGTTGAGCCAATAGGAATTAAAGTTTACGTCACATCATAGCTCAGTGTTTATACGGTATTCTATTAGTAAATAAGGTCAGAGAGATTTCTTTTTTTTTATCTTATTCATTAGAACTCTCCATATTTAGACAACATAAATCTTTGCTATCACCTTTTATCAATTTAACACATTCTTGATGAATAAAAATATTAATTTCTTTATTTTAAAAAAGAAAGAAAGAAATGACTGAATAAACACTCAAACTACGACAGTAATAATAAATCTATTTATTATTGATTGGAAATGCCATACTCCTAAACAGAAATGACCATTTGCCATGATGACAGGCAAACGCACACCAAAAATAATTCAATAATTCAATTTTTAAACTTGTACCGAAATGGACGGGGCTTAAAGGCTGAATACTACACTTTAATAACTTAACATAATAACTAGTATGACCAATAGAGGGCGACAAAACAATTTTTTTTTTACAGTGATCTCACTTGTACATGTAACATCACTTTACAGAACGACACACATTTTATTAGTATAGTGCAGAGTCAGACCAGGGCAAAACAGCAACAACGTTGTTTTGTCTATTTTAAAAAGGAGGAACGTACAATGCTTGACCTGGCAGATAAATACATTAAGACAGATCCTGTTGTAAAAGAATACATGATTTAGAAAACAGAAAAAATACAATTACACCATATTAATGATTAAGATTTGCATTCATTTGCATGACAAAGTCATATGTCTGAGATACATTGTATAGACAGCTCAGTGTTAGTCCAATACAAGCTGAAAAGGTACATCTTTGTACCTTATTTACCCCTAAATGGTATAGTACCTTAAATGTTCATATAAGTACTTTAAGTGTACATAATAGTATCTTTTAGCTTTTGTACCTTAGGGTACTGCCAAAGGGACAGCTTTGGACCTTAAAAGTCTAGTTCATCAACATACATTACATTCACTTGGTCCCAAAGTGTCCAATAGACAGAAGTGAATCTGTCTTTCCTAATATATGACAGATGATGATGCCAGTCTCTATGAGGGAGATGCTTTCAGTTTAATGACCAGCTTAAAAACAAACATGATGCAGTGTGAATACCAATTTCAGCTCCAACCACTTCGTTTCATGTTGTCAAAAAGCTCCTTAACTTTGTGCATGTCCTCTATCAGCCTAGCGGGGGCGTCTGTCTGTTCCAGCTTCTGAGAAACCTGTAGAGACCGAGTATTCAAAAGAAAAAGTTATGCTAATACACAATCTGAATCCTTAATCATTCTAGAATTACCCAATCGTCAAATGATTACTAGTGGAAAATACAAGTCTCCTTTCAAAACAGGTTTCTAACATCCTGAACTAAAACAGGATGTGAAAGTGTTGTCACATTTCATTAAAGTGTCAAAATAGGTTTCCTTTTTAGAATTTCTGTGGCTTCAAAATGCCTGAAAATCCTGTGAAACTGTTCTGTGAAACTGCCACGAATGCACGAAAGAGTAGATGAGCGATCATAACACGGGAATCGTACCTCACTGAAGTAGCGGAGCATGTATTTGTAGAGTTCACGCAGAGCTGCAGATTCATTGAACTCATTTTGATGTTTCTGATGAAGAAGGGAAATTAACATTAGGCATTTATTCATCACCATATTTTCATCAAGATGCTTCATTAAATCTCTAGGTGACAAATTGTACCTTTGACTCATCTTGAAGAAATAATTTCAACTCTTGGCTGCTGATAGAAGGCTGGTCTTTCACTATCTTGTAGTACGACTTGACTTCCTGTTTGTACTGAGGGATATCTTTGGCATAGAGTAGCTTATTGGTTGGTGAATGCTGTAGGAGAATAAGAGAGTCAATAATTTTTCTGATATTCACAGGTTTCCATGTTAGTTTTCAGTGGTTACCTTGTCTAGGTGTTGCTCAGTTAGTGAGAAGGAGTCCATGAAAGCCTGAGCGATGACGGACAGACAGCCGTCCAGGTGAGGCGTCTTTACCATGTCACTGAACACAAAGTCAGGGTTCTTCAGGATATTCACCCAGAAACGAAGTGGAAGGCTGATAGGGAGGTTAGAAAATCTTTTTTAGTTCTGCATGAACATATAAAAGTTCATGCAGAACTTCATACAGTTCATACAGTTCAAATCATTTGAGGCATTTGATAGTCAGCGATCAGTGCAGCTATTGGTGGAGCTACGCAAAAGTGTACTTCAATGGAGGTGTGTTATCCGGCAGCACCTGTTTGTTTTCCAGATGTGGAGAACATCTGGATCTGAGATTTTTTTTCTCTCTGCTTGTACATCCAGGAAGTCGAAAAAATACTTGACAGCCATTGGTGCCCTGCTGTTGGGCAGTCCCCAGATGCTCTTGAAAAGGGTCTCAACAAAAGAATGGACTGCCACCTGGTGGACACGTCAAAAACAAGTTTCATTTATATTTCACACAAGTTGAATTTTCATATTTTATGACGACATTCCATAGACAAAATGTTTTTTATACTGTACAAACTGTATATTTAATCCTCTAACCCTAACACTACCCCTAAACCTACCAATCACATAAAACTTTTTTACATTTTCAAAAAAACATAGTTTTATATGATTTATAAGCTGTTTATAACCCTCATGGGGACCAAAATATGTATGGTCTACATATATCTATCCATCATGTCTGTCCGTCCGTCCATCTGTCTATTTATACATCTATCTATACAACAAAATGCTTCTATGTGTCGGTTATTCTCACCTTGGTGGAGAGCAGCTTGGTGAGGTACATCTCTTTGAATTTTAATGCTTTTTTCTCGGGATGTTTGCTCAGGTCTGTTTCGACATCTGGATCGACCTAGACCAAACAAAACGTCCGGGTTACCAGGTTTATTTGTTGAAATTGTCAATGCATATAATTCAAGTTCTTTTACAACAATGTATTCTTATGTGTACTGACAGTGTTTGTAATATAAATGTTTAAGCTGTCTCTTTGAACAATACAAACTGCACTGAGATTCTTATGTTCAGATTCACTTAAAAGCACTTCCTCTTTTTTGAGCAGGAAGAAGGTGGCAAAACCGAAAGTGTCACACGCCCACAATCACTTCACTGCAGTGTCATGGCAATGCCAACTAGATATAACTCATGAACCCTTGACAAGGACCCATGCATGAAAACACAACGCAGTCATTACTTCACATATTCGGTGTGTCGGTGCATCGAGAAGGACACACCAAAACAGACTTTATACAGAAGTAAAAATGCCCTAAATGGCTACTCACCATATGGAAGTACTTGATAGAGAAGTTCACGTCATCTGTGCAACAAAACACCATGATAATGAGTAAATGAATAAGCAGTGTCAACCCAACACTTAGGCATCATTGGGCATTACAGACTGATGTTAAATAATTGAATCTCCACTGTGGTCACAGTGGGTTTAGGTGAGAGCTAGAAAAACCCAGGTCTACAACCAAACCTGCATAATGCAGTTGCACTCAAACAATACAGTATGCAACACCCATGCAAACATAATAAAAATATAAAAATGCATGTGTTTATACAGACAATTCAAAATGTTGGACCTTGATTTAGGCCTATATATATAAAAAAAACATTATTGCATCATATAATGAATGTACAGCAATTCCTGATCTGTTAAGCATGTAAAATGTTTATCAGTGACCAAATGAAAGTTATTATAAAGCACTATAAAAAATAATAGCGGTCAATAAGAGACTACACTGACAGATGTAGGATGTGGTATAAAAAACAAACACTTGAGACAGTTTAGACACCTATACCAACACTTCCTATACGCAAGGCCATGCTTAATTCTTGTGCCTCAATGTGACAAGATGCACAGATGTAAATGTTGCCTCGCCTGAGCAGTTTCAGTTCCAGTTCAGATCTCTTATAAAGGGACAGTTGTCATTATTTACTCATCCTCCTCAAGTCATTTCAGACCCATATTACTTCATTTCTTTGGTGGAAAACCAAAACAGATGCTTGTCAGACTAATGACAGTGCTCTCTTTCATATCATGAAAGTGGATGGAGACCAGAGGATGTCAAGCTCCAAAAGGCACACAAACCATCATAAAAGTAGTTTGTATGACTCATGCACTATTCATGTCTTCTGATCATATGATAGCTTATGTGAAGAAGACATTAAAATTCAGGTCACTATTTAGGCTCTGAAAATATTTCTCGATAGCTGTGGTCACCATTCCATCTCATTGTATGGACAAAATGAAGTTTGGATATTCTGATAAAATTCTTCCTTTTGTTTTACAAGGAAGAAAGAAAGTCCTAAGGGTTTTGAAAGGAGATGAGGGTGAGTAAACTTTTGGGCTGAACTATCCCTTTAATCAATCTTCTCCCAGCTGATGTAATAGTGTTATATTGCACTGCTTCATGAAGAAAATTTTGTTCCGTGAACACATAATCTACATCATATGCGTCACAGTCACCAGTTTATCATCCAGCTCTTTACTACATTTCCCAGCATCCTCCTTGGCCCACACCTGCACTTCCTTCACAATCACCTGCACTTCATCAATCACCATGGACACTTATGATCATCACAGCTGTCTCTCATTGTCTCGTTATCATCATCATCATCTGCATCAACTGTGTTGTTAATAGTGATGGGAAGTTCGGATCCTTTTACTGACTCTCCTGTTCGAACTCGTTCATCAAAATGAACGAATCTTTTTCCGAGTCATTTCGTTCATTCAAGTGGCTTTAAACGTTGTACTTCTAACCGCCAAATTCCCCGAACACATCCACCTATGCAATCTTGATCATATTCTGAATAAAGAAATCATTATAATGCAGTCAAAAATAATTTACAGGGAACATAAATAATTAATTTACCTTCCGAGTCTTTCGTTCATTTGTCACGTGACAGACGCAATGAACGGATCGTTCATTAACGACCCATCACTAGTTGTTAACCAGTGTTAATCTGTGTTTGTATTTAGTTCCCTTCGGTTCAGTCAGTCTTTGTCCGTTCTAATTTGTATCTAGTGTGTGTGAACCTTCTACCTGTCTGTACCCATTTTAGTTATATTATTGTTAGTAAAAACTTTGCATTGGCATTTTGGACTCCTCGTCTCCTTCTGCCTGCACCACATCGTGACAATATGTGGCAATACTAAACGTTTTTGTAGAGTGGGGTGTGGTGTTTGCAAAGCTACAGTAGAGCTGGGGAAAGATTCAAAGGGATGTGACTCACCCTTCACACTGTTCTGAGACCTCAATGGGGCATGCACTCTTGTTGTGATCACTTTAATGCATGCTCCATCACCAACCTGGATGGAAATACATATTTAAAAGCACATAAACTCAGAAGATATCAGAAAATACTACTGTGCTGCTGTAGTCTATGGATGTATTGTGGGTTAACACAACAGTTTAGCTTAATCTGGGTTTATTTGGCCTTGTGATACAAGCTTTGCAAGTGAAAGGTCAATCTCGAATTAAGCCAACAGCCACCCTTGAGAACATAAAAATACCATGTAAAACAGGATAGATCTTATATTTCTTAACCGCTGTTTTCACAGGGCTGTTATTATTTATTGTCAGTGTTTAATTTGTTATTGAGAGAAAAGCGTGCAGCACATATCTAAATGCTGCTCCCAACAGTGGTCAACATCAGGATGTTGGCTAACAGTATATCACTGCAAAGGTATTTCAAACTTATTTTTACCCCTTAGCGAAGAACGAAAAATAACTTCACCTTTATGATATTCTGGTCTCTAGATACGGCTCAGGTCCTGTCTTTAATGTACCATAGGTATATGGGATTTTTTTCTTGTTTTATCATTTGTCTGATTGCTTAGAATATAGTACACTTCTTCTCAAAAATGATGTTTAAACCATTTTTGGTTCTTTTGCACTCACCTGATAATGTTTTAGAGTATTCAACATGGTAACATGCCCTCGAATCTCTGAGGTCTCGTCGACTTCCTGTAGCATGACAAACTTTCCTTCCTTCTCATATTCTGTGAGAGCACAACAAAAAAACAGAGAGATCAAATAGTAATAGTTCTGTGGTTCTGTGGATAGTGCGACTGACAACTGAAACAACAGTTTGTTAACAACACAAATAGGTCCTATAAGCTTTAAGCCTTTAAGAAAAGTTTCATGAAGTATTTTGATAATCAACACTGAAAGAGTAATGAACAGGGAGCCTACTAACCGATTTCTATATCCCTGAACTGCTGTGTGTAGGGGAAACCAAACTTGCGCTGAAAGGTCTGTAAGATTTTCTCCTTGACCTGCTGTACTGTGTCACAGGTCAGTGCGTTGACCTCTAAGGGTTCACTGACTTCTCCTCCAGTCCCCACAGCAAACACCACCTTCAGTTTCTACAGGGGCGAAAACATTAACAAAATGATTTAGTGAAGAAGAACTACCAATTATATATGTTGCACATAAACATTGTAACAGTTCTTCTTTTAATGAGAATGAATAGAGAAGGAAACAATTTAGGGGACAAACATCCAGAGCAAAAAAAAAATCGAAATCATATATGCTCCCTTGTTTTTTCACAATCTGTTAAAGCAAGCACGAATGTTCAAATTCAAATAAGATATTGACAAAAATCAACCTTAAAAAAGTTAATAATCAAAAGAGAACTCACAGGACATATAGCGTCACAATCACTTAGCACAAACATTGACAACATGGAACAAAGAACAGAATGATTTGAGGGCGTATATACATACACAGAGCATAAGGCAAACAGGAACTGAACACAAATCCAAAACTAACTATACATGTTACAATAAAAAAAATGACACTGGAATGAAAAAAAAAAATCATATTCTGCTAATAATGTCCTCTGCAGTCAGACAGAGTCAACATCTTTCATATCACTGGAGCTCTACTCACAATATCCAATAAGCTCCAGTAAAACAAAACCTTATTTATACACGTTATCTCTTCTTTTATATACTTGGCATATTTTTATTAGCCTATTTTAGAAGGTGTTCTGTTTTTTTTTTAGATCAAAACCTTTAAACTGCCAGACCAATTGTTTATATGATAGATCAGGTATAAAGACCCTTTCAGTACATGAATCAACTGTTATGGGCAATACAGGGAAATAACTTAAATAATTAGACCTAATATATGTATCTTTTTAAAAAGTCAGTTTAAAGTAAAAATTTAAATAAAAAATGCAATATCAACCTAAAATAAATGACTTATGGCAGGAACTTTTTAGTTGCCGTTTAAAGTTGCAGTCATTTTAACTGTAATAAAGGGGCAGAATACAACTCAAACTCAAATGAGTTAGACCATCTTTCCTTAAATATGTTCCTTTGGAGGAATGCAAGTTTCTTGCTTGGCAATACAGGTACAGTCCGGTTTTGTGAGAGGAAGGCTTGTGCAAAACTGATCAGCAGAAGGCAAAATGCAGAAGCACAATGGTTTCACAAGTCTATCCATTAGAGGCTGCTGGTGGTTTAGGGGAAGATGGCCTAGTCACATGATTCTGTCTGCATACTGTCATTAATCTTTCCTCTTTTCTTGCTTACTCAAGTGTTTATGAGCTGCGAGACAACAACCATCCTACCACAGTCAATCTGAGAATCACAGGTCAGGAAAGAATCAGGAACAGAAAATGTCAAGAACTGTAATAAAAATCTCTGTGGCCCGCAATAAACAATTACTACAAAGTGTAACAAGTCCACATGTAGGAAAGCAACACAACAGTCGGAAAATGATGCCCGAAGCACTTATGCAAGAAATATTGCGCAACGAAGAGAAGTTTCAGGAAGTTACAGGATGTCTTGGTGATGGAAAGTTTATGAGCTAATTTAAGAGGTTAAACTTAGATAGACTTAATAGACAAAATATTTGGTGTTTCTTTTTAATTCATTAAAAGGGGGAACAACTAAAACGTCAATGTGGCTTGTTATGGTATTTTTGAGGTTAGTACTTTCCAGAACTGTTTAATTTTGTGAACAGTTTCTCGATTGTATAAAATTGACCGTAAAAGAAGAACATACTGACCAGGGCCTCAAAGTCCTGCGCTTGGCAGAGAAGCCAGTCCTCGCTAAGGGTGTATAGAGCTTTCTCTGTCACTGAATCCACCGGCCCTTTAGAGATCTGTTGAGTCAGAGCTGACACCAACAGAAAGAGAGGCTGTCCTACTGATTCCTATGGACGAAACACACACATTTTGTGCATAAACATGTGAGTAGTACACATGAGTAGTGAAAGATAATATGCACTTTATAAATCCACGATAAAGTGGATGTATGGACGGACCCTGAGGAAGCCATACAGACAGATGGACATCCAGTTGGTAAGAAGCTTCTCCACTATGGACTCTGTGCGGCGCAGGAGAAGTTTTGGATTCGCATTACTGGACTGGTCCATCAGAGTCTGCAGAAGGTCCTCCATTACCTCTGTGAGATAAACCAGGTCTCCATGGAGGGCCAGAGTCAACAGAGACGCCACTGTACATCTGAGACAGAGGAACAGAAAGAGAGATATAAAGAGAGGAACGAAAAAACACGGTATAAAGAACAGACAAAGACGAGTAGATAAAGGGTCAAAGACAGAGACTGAGCGAAAGAGATCAGTTGCAGTATAACTGGCTGTTATGCATCTCTCACTGATCCTTTTATGATTAAAAAGCAATCCTTGATCTGATTTCAATACTCACTATACTTCAAGGAATATTTGAAATGCCCATTTACTGAATGTTTATTTTATTCTAATACAATTATTTGTAATAATAATTATTGATTTGTTTGTTAAACTTTATAAAAATATTATAAAGTGCTACATATTATGCAAAACAATCAAGCCAATGTGTATTGCAATTATTTGCCTAAATATGCTTTTAATATATTTTTTATAATATTGATGCTTTTATGCAAAACCTTTGAAGAATCTTAGGATCTAATTTGAGGTTTCAGTTGCAACCTGTGTGTGTTTCAAAAGAGCAACCATATATTTGTGTTGTGTTTTATTTTCTTCATTTTGCTTTATTATCATTTAATTTTGTATATCATGTGTATTTAATCATTTATATTATTCATCATTTGACCATCTATACCAGTCATTCATTTTTTATATTGTATATTACTTAGGATTTTCCTCACTCTTGTGATGCTTACTATTGTAGTTTAATCTTATGATTGTGGGCTTTCGTGGAATATTTGTCTTCATGAATAAAAGATAAGATGGAATGTCTCCATTTCAAGGCTTTATGAGATGTTGTTGTGAAGCAATTTGATATAACAACACTTGCTGGATTTGTGCTGGTCAGACGAAGTCTATGCATTGAAACATCTAACATGACATTGTTTCTGTCACAGTGGTGTTTGGTTTAGTTTGTTTTCATTTGGACTTGTCTGCCTGTCATCACATGTCACGTGTCATCTTCACTGTCACTATCAGTTCAGCTGTATCACCGGTGTTTAATCAATCTTTGTCATCTGTGTTTGCATTTAAGTTCCGTTTGCTCAGTCAGTCTTTGTCCGATCACAGTGTGTGTTGCTGCCTGTTCTGCTGTCCTGTATTTTAATCATCATTAAACCTTCGTATTGAAAAGAAACCTTCATCTTCTTCTGTCTTCCTGCAACCACCCGTGACAGTTTCACTGTGATGGTCATTTTAAAGGACACTTCTGAGTTCCCTCAAGGAAGACGAATTGCTTTTTTTATAATGCCACAAAACACTATCTCTGTTTACACTTTCTGTTTACAGCTCTAAGCAACGGAACCCAAATCAGGGCCATAAGGACCTGTGACCAAGTTAAACAAGTCATATTCAAACAGAGGCGAGAATGTTTTCAAAGCGTCAAAGCATCTTCGACTCACTTGTCTTTTATGCTGAAGTTTTTCTGTTCCTCTAATGCATGCACAAAACAACTGAGAAACTGCTTATCTCTGATCAGCACCGCAAAAGCCTCACATTTTTCATCAACAGTTGTCTGCGCAGAGTCCTGAGCATAAAAAAATGACAGAGTAATAGTTAAAACATCTATTTTTACAGTGTGATATGTTTATACTACATATAGGCCAACTGCTAAATATACTGTAGCATTTTACCTCTCCAATGTCTCTGATCATGACTGTTGACAGAGGACCAGCCTAATAAGAAAATATATATTAAACAAACAAACACATTTGGTAAATCTGTAAATCTGAGTAAATATGCATCAAAAAAGTAATAAAGCTCTTAAACCTCAGGAAAGAAGATTTTTGAGGCAAAGTGCTTGTAATCCAGGAAAGGTATGGCTCCAACATTGTCAATCAAGTCGGATTTTTCTGTTTGCAAGTCAACAAAGCCTGTCAAAAAAAAAAGAAAAAAAAAGTATGATGTAATCACAGACAATTAGACATCAAAAGTAACATGGCAACAATATGAGCACTGAAGGAATTAACATTTTATGTTTTCAGCAGAACAGTAAGCAACAATTGGTGTTTGCCTGCAAAAATTGCCTGCAAAGTTGCCAAGGTGTTGCTATGAGGTTGCTACTCATATAGACTTTAAGTCTACAGTATATAGACATGATTCGATCCACCTATTCTTATGCAAATTTAGTGATGTTGCATAAAAATAAAAAATAAAGGGTACATGCTCAATTAAAGCAGATCATTTTTTTCTAATAAGAAAACACATAAACTATGAACTACATTTATCGAATACATTTCTTGACGCGCAACAGAAAATGTCTTGTGACTTTACCTCAACGGATCATGTGATCAGAAAAATGGAGGAGAGCGAGAGGTATGTTCAGATGGACGACGAGGTCAGAACATTCTTAAACATCCTTTTTGAAAAAGATTCTTGATCTTACCGAAGTTTAATACTGTATTTAGGATTTAGTTGTTTTTTCAAATCATTAACCTTCAGTATGAGCAATAGAAACAGTGACACTTGCCTTTACAAACACCACACTACAAAGACCAGCATTTCAAAAATGACCGACCTTGTCGTATATCCCTTCTGATGTTGCTTTCTAGCATTTCCAGTTGTTTGTTCATTTTCTCATTCATTTGTCTCTGGCTCTTACGGTGAACAATGGCTCCAACTAGACAGATGTGCAAAACCACATATTAATCCCTGCAGGACTTATGTTAAAATATGTGACGTAAATCTGAAATCACTTACCAACAGCAATTAGAATTATGAGCAGAATCAATGCGCCAAGGATGTATAAGTACTTTATAGGACTTGGAGACTCAAGGGTTTTAGTAAAATTCCCAACATTTATCTGAAAATTATAGTAAAATAAAGGAGATTTTTGTATTTTAAATATGCAAGGGTCAATAATTAATTAACAAGAAATGTTGCATAAAGACATGTTTATTTAATATTTATTATTTAGACTCACAATGAGTGAGTCCACTGATGTGACGGCTGGTGATTCTCCTTTAATCTTACAGATGACGGCATTGGACTCAATCTTCTCCAAAACACACTGATACTGCTGATCTCCCCGTAGACCCGTCACATTCACCTCGCTCATACTCAAGTTCAATGCATCTGCCTTTTTCTGAGAAAGAGATGTAGAATGGTGTGGAGGTTGTGAGATTCCCATGCCCATTTATTTTCTGGGAGTTTTTAAGACCAGGGCCAGGAAAAAATAGGCATGCATGCCAAAACATGCAGACTGTACATTGATCTTAAACTCACTGTAATACTAAACTCACCTGAATGTTCACCTGTAGGTAGTCGGCCACCTGTAAGGTGGTGAATCCAGTGAATTCTGGATCAGGCTCGTAGGACAAATGCCCACAGTCCACAGTGGAGTTTCCAACTTTCAACTTAAATGAATATCTGTTATAACTTTTTGGTGAGTGAAACCACATGTCCTGAGAAAGAGAGACAATTAAAATATAACTAAATGAAGCTACATATAAGCTGGGAATACTATAATGTTTTACAATTATACTAGCTGTAAATTAATTAAACAACCTGTCAAAGTTCTCATGCACTATGTGTGAAATATGGCTGTTTGACTGTTGATCTCCATATGTCAGATAAAGTGTTGTAAGCTGCTTGACTGGATGTTTTTTTTAGGATAATAGCTCACTTTTAGCCCAATGCAAGCATAATAAGCACTTCTTACCCCTGCGCTTCGGTTGTAGTGTGTTTGGAACACCGGATTTTGGAAAATAACTGATTCCACTAATTCCATATTGCTCCCTTGAACATGAATCTTCCTTCCACCACTGAATGAAGAGATATTTAAAACAATTTAATCAAAAAGCAGACTTCAGAATCAGGGTAAGTGAAACCGGTATAAAATAATACTACATATAATAAAAAATACATTGTATATAAAATATACAAAAAATTATATGATATATTTTATATTTTTAAACCATAGATGCAGAAAATCCCACTTTATTGACAGTATGTAGGAAATTTGCACAGCGTCTATTACATGGATAAAAGAAGGAAATCCTCTACATTTTGAACATGAACTCTGTTCCCCCTTGAAATTCACTCCCTGGACTTAGTCCTGATTATAATAAAATTAACAGAAAGTCCCCACAATGACATAAACATGCCTGTATGTGGAAGCTGATCTGCCAGAGGTCTGAAAGCTCTTACCTCCTCCAGGAGACTGTGGGCTGTATTCCTGTGCAGCTGGGCTGAGAACTGTAAGTGATGATACTGTTACCATGACAACGGTCGTCAGGAGTAACAACACACACTTTCACTGTTCCTTTAGTTCCACTGGGAGGAATGTTGAACCTTAAAGTGTCACTGGAGCGATCAAACACTGGAGATCTGAGGGGAAACATTCATGCACAGATATACAGTATCATTTATATCAATCTACACACTTTCATAAATACAATTAAACACAAACACACAGAATCTCACTCTTTAGGAATACAGTCCAGATCCCCTTGAATATGGATTTGAGTGACAGATTCCAGGTTCCTTCCTTTTAATGATACGTTGTTTCTGCCATGGAAAGACACATGGCTGTGCTCCAGAGAGAGAATCTCTGGCTTCTGCAGGACACAAAATGTTGCACTCAGTAAAGAAAGGCCATACAGGAAGAAAAAAAATCGATATCCACTTTATATATGACCAAAGCATTCTTTAATAAACAACAGAAATAAAAGTACATTTTATTACATACATTTCATAAATGATAATAATAATAATAATAATGTGCAGTAATTAAATATAAGTAAATATCAATAATGTTATACATAGTTTAAAAAGAATAATGATTGTGACAAATAATTTACTGCTGATATGATATAGAAGAAAGCAACTTTTGTTTTAAAATAAATTTAAAAGCAAATAGTTCCTCAAAAATGAAACAAAATCCTCAGACTCTTGTAAAGTTGTATAGGAACAATTTAAAATAGGAACATACTGAAAAAAAGACATCCCTATTCTGTGCAGTTGGGTTCATAATCAGCATGACACTTACTCTGTATTTAATCTCAGAGAGTAGATCTTTACACGCATCCTAAAAAGTAGAAAGAGAGAGAGAGAGAACTGAGCGGTTCATTCACTTCCTGAATTTTCTTCAGTCAACACAATGATATTTAAGCTATTAACAATTAATTAATATCATCTTGAATCTTTATAAAGGTTACATATACTTATTTCCCAATACGTATACGTATAATGAAGCACTGGATTGTAGAATACAGTATGTCTCACCTGTATGAGTAACTGCGGTCCAGGTCCATGTGTCCAATCACAACGCTGAGAGGAAGAGGACCACTGACACCCAGATGAGACACACTGCACACACCTGCATTCATGCACATATGATTCATATATTTTAAAGTATTAAAATATTAAAATATAATAATTTAAAGTATTAATAAATTAAAGTATTAATATATAATATAAAGTATATCATTTCTGCATTATGCAATTTTTCTCACTGTGTATAAGAAGCATTTGTGTTATCTGTGATACTGGAGCAGTTCCTCAGTGTCAGTGTCTCTGTGATCTTCTCATCCTTAATGGCAACAGTAGCAGAAACTTCTGAAACTGAATAGATTATCAAACATGTTCATGGTTATAAAAAAAAATAATATTCTGACTACAAAAATAGGCTGTATAATTGACCATATACAACTTTATTAAAGGGGTGGTTTAATGCCCCTTTTTACAATATGTAAAATAAGTCTCTGTTGTCTCCAGAGTGTTTATGTGAAGTTTTAGCTCAAAATACCCCACAGATAATTGTTTACAGCATTTTTTACAGTCCCTTTAAATGCAAATGAGCTGTTGCTCTCGGCACAGAGGGCAGAGCTTGTGTGTGTGTGTGTGTGTGTGTGTGTCATAGAAGCTCCGATAACCTCACGCAGACAAGCACTAAAATGTCAGAAACTATTCTGCCTTTTATGTTTAAACTGGAGTCGGACAATGATGGAGAGACTCAAGAAGAAGTGACAACATGTAGAATGCAACAGGACATTTCTGAATGCTACGTTGATGAATTTATGTTGCTGATGTGGAGTTAATTATCTTCAAGTTTTTGATTAGCATATTCTGTCATGATAATCTGTAAAATCGCTCGTGTGGGAACTGTTGTAAGATGTCTACAGAGTGACATGCTATTGCATTTGTGTCATGTACTGTATTGCATGTGAAAAGACGGATGCGACAGCTTGAGGAGACTAACAAATCTGCTCGACTATAACAACTCTTCCTCTTCTCAACATGGACTGTGTTCCCGGGGGCGAGTTTATGTACATTTTAGGGGTTAGTGATGTCACTAACCCAGGAGGAATGTTGTGTAGTCCCTACCAGCCGTTTGTTGTAGTCCTTAAAAAACGATTTCTTTAAAAGCAAATATCTTCCTTTGGTTTAAACTTTGAGCATTGTAACTTTGCAGATGTTGTTTATGCTCAAACAGCAACATTACACACTAACTGAAGTTAGAAAAGTGAAATCATAATCAACCACCCCTTTAATAGAAAACCAACCTCCAGTATAAAGTATGTGGTCTGAAAAACTACAGGAGCAGTTTGGGAAAACTGCAGTCAGATCAGACCCGTCACACACATTCACACTTCCTGTGGTGAAGGAACATGAGAAGGCGGGATTTCCTGTGCTCTCCAGACTCAAGCCAAGATGTAGCGTAACCTGTGTAGGAGAGAGCAATGTTTGGTAGTCAAATAAATTATTTCTTAAATATATTCCCTAAATTATGATAAATACTTTAAGATTACGACCCTCTACCTTTCTAGAAGAGTTCTCTGTCATTTGAAAAGAAAGCAGCTGTGTCTTAAGAGAGTTTTTTGGGATGGACACCCATGAAGTATTTGAGCATTCATCTTGAGTAGAACATCTAGATAAAAACATCATCAATATATCATGTACAGATCTGTTTGCACACTGCTCACCATGTCCATATAGAATAGATGATAAGAATTTAAAAGACTACATTTCTACAATGAACCATTAGGCATATTAAGTGATGATAAGCAGATAATGTGATGTGTGACAAGTCACATGTGATAAAGGCAGGCTGACCTCTGTGTGTTTAAACACCAGCCACAAAGAGGATCCAGAGCAGCTCTGCAGTCTTCCAGAGAGCTGTATTTAGCACACTGAACCACAGACACTCTTCTGAGCTACATCAACACATGAGCAGAAAGAGACAAGTGTGATAATTCAAGGTAACAGTTGAGTAGAGATATACTGTCAATGGTTTGTTTGTTAATTGCACATTTCTACACCTCACCTCTTTCCTCAGAGCGATGTAGATATGTTTGAAATCTACTGGATCAAAGTGCATTCTGGGAAGCACTGCTCGTTCATCATCAGATTGGTACAGCACTATTGGACAGCCTGGTGTGAATTTCTCATCCAAAACCAGCTAGAAACACAAACAGAAAGACTGTGATTGTTTAGTAGTTCAAATGAAGAGGTAAACAACAGATTAAATGGAGGGCAGGAATTTAGAAATGAAAACTTATTGAGAGGTGAAAGAGACCTTTATCAGTTGTCCATCACTGGTTCCTATGAACAACACAATCCAGGATCCACTTCTATCTGCTGCCACTGATGACATTGAGCTGTACTTGAACACCACAGAGAGCGGCTGAAGGTTACTACCACTCTGCAACACAAAGAACGAAAATATTATGACTTTGGTGAAGAGTGAAATTAAGTTTTGTCATGCAACATATTATACATTCTATTACAATTATTATACATAACTCAAATCGATAAAACTACTAAACTTCATAAAAGAAATAAAAAAATAAAATGTATATTGAGCACATAAATGCTGATTTTCCAACCTCAGAATCACATTTTTCACCAGTAGTGCAGAAACCCTTCACTCGGCCTTGAACTCTACTGATGTCGTACAGAGCCAGCGCGGTGTTCTCCGGATCCTGCTGATCCTGCGCACTGAACACACCTGCCCAAATAACACCGTTCCCTGAGGGAATAACGGTGGAGGCGACGAGAACTGGACGAGCTTTATCATTGCAGCACTCTATCGTTGCAGACTGTAGGGATTTGAAGATCTCTGTCTTTTTTGTTTTATTGCTGTTCATCCACAGGACGTGCACTTTCCTCTCCGAGACAGTCTTTGCGTTGAGAAATAAGTACGAGTCTGACGATGAAACTCTCTGGAATCCGTCAACAAACTCCACATCTCTAGCGGTGCTCTGGATGAAGGGGGTTGATGCTACTTCTATGTTGGTGAAAATCCCACCAAATTGAGACTGTAAAGTGTTCCACAATTTAACAACAGGATACGGATCTCCAGGTTTTGTTGGTTCGTCCTTTTTCCCAACCAAAAGGAACCTACCGGTACTTGGACCTGCTATGAACCCAACCGATTTCTCATTCTGTTCCGGTCCTACCGATATAGGACTTTCATCGTAAATACTCTTTGTAATGTCATTTATATCAAGAACTTCGCAATATCCATCTCTAAAGGTCCCACAGGTTATCAGGGTGTCGTTGTCGTCAAAAGGCACTAGAATGTTGACTCTATTTTGATGAGTGGCATTAGTGATGTCCTTCCTCTTCTCCTCAGATAGATCGAGTCTCATCTGATGTAGTCGATGGTCAGTAAGAACGAACAACTTACTTTTACCAACTACAAAGTCCTTGATGTCTCCATTAAAGTTCACCACATCACTGCAAATGCAATGTTTCAAAAGTGGGACCACAAGTATTCCAAGTAAGTATCCTCTCATCTTGCATATCTGAGAGATCAGCTAAAGTTTCGAGATCTTGTCACAGAGATCAACTGCGCTCAGATGCGTCCACGGCTGAATTGGATGGAAGTGAAAGCAGCGGCTCTGAAGATGCCTGATGACTTCCGCGCAACACCAACAAATCTGTAGTAGCCCTGATTGCGACATTTAGATGTTTTGCAAGTTATACCATTTCATGATTAAACACTTTTCGTGATTCTACACAATATATGGGACCGGAACATATACTCTCTATTGAATTCAATAATGACAGGAAACTTTACATTTAATATTTTAATTTTCAAGTTCTGCAATCTTTTGGTTACTGCTACACCCTTGTGGTGTAAAAACAGCTTCATATTTAGAATAGAATAGAATAGAATAAAATAGAATAGAACATAATATAATTTATTACCACTTCAAATTGTGAGATTTGATGAGTTTGGGTGAAACATCGATATTCTATCTATAGATATGACAATATATTGTCACTACTTTTTTATTATAAAAAAGTCACATGTGTCACAACACATTTTATTATACTCTTTAGTGAACTAGTATCATTATTTACTTATACATAGACACTACAAATATTATTTGTTAATGTGTACCTGATATTGCTGTAGACGTTAGCACTTCATAATTTACAAATAAATAGTCACTTGTCTCCATCTACAGGCCACCAGCCACAGAGCCACAAATACACATATGCCTACTGATTGATGACAACTGTAATTTATTTATACAAATATTTATATGGCAGTCAGACATATATACTTTTTTTTTTTAAATAAAACAGTTCTGGCAATATTTTGTCAAAATCTTCTTGTCACAGTTAAAATCGTCATTTTAATAAAATTTTATAAATATTTTTTCGCCAGGTTAGGCGACTGGCTATTAATACTCAAACCACTTACATCTAGTGGCAATAAATTATATTCTGATGCATTCAGGGAGGAGATCCAGTCAGTTGATTAAGGCAAATTTTATTTCTTAACAGCAGACAATCAAATAATTCATTTGATAATTCTTCAATAATCAGAACAGTTAAAATCACTTCTAATATTTCCAAGTAAACTATAATTAAAACACTCTGAGTATAATATTCTTAGCCTAAAGATAATTAAAGTTGGTTGAGTTGTGAAGGAGCAAGGTCTGAGTCCATGGTATAGACTGACCAGTACAGAAAATATTCGACTTCTAATGCAGATGCTTATCAGCGCAAGGCTAACTTCCTCTTTCCAATCTCATTCGAGCAAACCCGAAAGACAAAGTGATATCTTTCTTTTGTGGTTTGTCTCACAAAACACATATTGTCTCGAGTCTCGTACACCAAATGTGTCAGAAAGTTGTTAATCTTTACTACACAATACAGAACTACTGCACATGTCTCTTCTGCAAGATGTTCAGCTAAGATAACATTCGTTTAGCACTTTATTCTGAGACATTCGAGCATTTGTGGTCTGTCAATTGGAAACTTATAGACTCTTGACTGCATTTAAACAGCTATAGCTTACAAAAGTCAATCAGTATACATTTGAGGCATAAAGATTAATAAAAGCATTAAACATAAACATTTCAAATGATAATAATGGTAAACACATCAAATGATCAAACTAATGAGAAACACATCAACATGATAATAACGATTTCTTAAAATGTCATGATTACATTTGATTAAATTATTTTTAAGATCTAAACGATTCTTATGATAAAACATAAGAAAATGAGAGTCGGCACAGAAGCCAATGGCACATATGCGTATTGGCACATCCGGTCTTCATTGGCATGTGCCCAGTGATAGTGGCATGTGTCACTGACATTATTGGCATATGCCAGTGGTCGATAGTGGCATGTGTCACTGACATTATCGCGACACACTGACACATGACACCTGACTGACGAGTCGCGGAACATGTCACCTGTTGTGGTTGTGACACCTCCAGTAGTGAGTGACTGACCGATTAATCGAGCAGCTATTGCGCTGGCCAGTGTTACACTCACTTATACTGACACCTACTGGCGTGCGTCCGTGCAGCATCACGCAAAAATAAAGGTTTACAGTAACGGACACGACTGTTACCTTATTCGTAGTGACCAATGATAGATTTATTTAGTGTCCTAGAACGGACAGTTTGTGACTTTAAAGAACATAAAGTAGCACTCGTATTACAAAACATTCAGTGGCACATATACCAGATACAGGCGTGACACAAATAACACGTTTGTAAAAAAATATATATATTAGGCCTACTGACTTTAATGCCTTTAATTGATATTTAGAATATCACAAAATTAGGCTACTTAGGATTTTGTGTCACAATTACATCAGTATAGGTGCTCGATTAATCTGTCAGTCACTACTGCAGGTGTCACAAGTCACAACATATATGTTCCGCGACTCGGTGTCAGGTGTCATCATGTCAGTGTCAGTGTGTGTAGCGATAACAGTGACACATGCCACTATCCACTGGTACATGCCAATGAAGACCGGATGTGCCAATACGCATACCCTTACGAAAAAGAAGTTTATTCAAGTGTGCTATTAGTATACTTCTTTTAAACTAAAAAATGTGAAAGTATACTTTCAGTCTACTTTTTATGTACTTCTCAGAAATATACTTTATGTACTTCTCAGAAATATACTTCAAATTACACTTAAGTATACTTGACTTATATTGACAGAAAAGTCTAAGTATATTTGGCCTATAGGCTACTTGTTGATGGAGATATACTTAGAAGTATAATTAAGTATTCTAAGTATTCTTGGCTTGTACTTGTGTTTACTATGTTGATTGAGTAGCTTATTAAATACTTTTTTTAAAACATACACACTGTCTTATACACTAACATGTTCAAGTTTATATAGTAACAAGCTTTCGGGTAGAATAGCTTATAGAGTAAATAAAACAAGCATGGAACTGAACCTGATCTTGTACACGATAACAATTACCCTTACGAACAATACGTTTATTCAAGTAAACTTCTTTTGAACTAAAAATAAGAAAGCGTAGCCTACTTTCAGTCTACATTTTATATACTTCTCAAAAATATACTTAAAATTACACTTAAGTGTACTTGACTTATACTGAGAGAAAATTCCAAATATATTTGTCCTAAACTTGTATTCAATCTTTTGATCGAGTAGCCTATTAAATATTTTTTACATAGTTTTTCATATAGACAGTCTTATGAAACTTACATTGTTTGAAAATATTGATTAAAATATTGATATAAAACAGATATGTTTCTAATTCTGCGTATCTGAATTTTTGTGTAGGCTTGTCCACTAGTAGTGTACAGGAATTTACTTTAATTCTACTTTACTCTTTCCCCACCATTGACTGAATTTTCCAGCTATCCATGTTTTCACTGTTATACGGTAGGGGGCGCTATGACATCTTCTAGTACAGAATCTCCGAATTAAAAACACAGGAGAAGAAGAAGCTGAAAGAAGTGATAGAAGATTGCTCACTCAAATGTAAAATAACGTGATCATCAAACATTAAACAGCGTGTAAATCAAAACTGAAATGAAATGAAACTGTAAACAAATGAAATGAAGCGTAACCATGAAGAGAAAACGACTGTGAAGCTTTGGGGGTGTTGGACTCGATCTACTCCATCTGTGTTTTGATCATCGTTCTGAATCTGATCAAGGCGTAGTCTTTGACAAAAATGAGATTTTCTCAACTTTTTTGTTAAAAATGTTTCCTTTCTTTATGAAACTTACCAACATTCTACAAATTGTTGATAAAAAAGCATGCATGAAGCTAATAAAATGTTGTTGTTTTTTTTAAATTAAAGTACAGTTAAAATAATTTTTCAAGTATAAAAAATAACGTCAACATAGTAGTATAGAGGCCTACTGCAAGTGCAAATATAATATATAAATAGTAAACTATAAGTATAATATTAAGTTCACTTAAAGAAAACTTTCAGTAAACTACTAGTTGAGTAGCTAGTTTTATACCATAAGTTTTCTTTAAGTGAACTTAACATTATACTTATAGGGAGGCAGCCCCTGTGTTAAAAACTGGTAGAAAGTGGTAAGCAAAGAAAGTGGTCAGCAAAGAAATCTGTAGTAGAGGCAAAGGCTGCCCTTCAAATTGGGGATATCGTGGGACAGGTACAGCATGGAAGAGGGGGTTTTGGGCTCAGTTTAGCTCCTCCTAAATGGCACAAGGCAGGCCCAGCTCAAAGGAGGAAACTGGTAGTCAACGAGGTGCGAAAGCAGGAGGAGAGGATGAGGTGTATAAAGGCCATTTCCCAGGCTAAGCAGGGAGAGTGTGGAACAACGCAAGATGGGCTGGCAAGACCTTTGGTCAATGGAAGAGAGGATCAGTTTCCTTATTAGGTCAACATATGATGTTCTCCCATCACCGCAGAAGCTAAACCTCTGGGTAGGAGAGGATCCCTCTTGTCCTTTGTGTTCATCACCTGCCACATTAAGGCACATTTTGACAGGATGTAAGGTGGCTCTTAGCCAAGGTCAGTTTACTTGGCGCCATGACCAAGTACTGCGATGTTTGGCTTTAGCATTGGAAGGCAAGCGTAGTATGACCAATAAGTTGCCGCAGGTTCTAGCAAAACATTACACGCAGAAGACAATATTCCTCCGCCCAGGCGAGCAACCACCAAGAAAAGGTGTTAACACCAATTCTCGCCCAGGACAACTGGAAGCTGCTAGGAACTGGAAGATGCTGGCTGATCTTGATCAACGGCTTATTTTTCCACCTGAGATTGCCACCACTAACCTACGACCAGATATTGTTTTGTGGTCTGGATCAGCACGCATTGTTCAACTGATAGAGTTAACAGTGCCATGGGAGGATGCGGTAGATGAGGCATATGAGAGGAAGAAACTGCGGTATGCTCATCTGGCCACTGAAGCAGAACAGCGAGGATGGAGAGTCCAGGTTTATCCAGTGGAAGTGGGTTGTCGAGGTTTTGTGGCACACTCTACAACCTGGTTCCTCAGAGACGTCGGATTCAGCGGCCAAGAGTTGCGTCGCACAGTAAAGAACTTATCTGAAGCAGCAGAAAGGAGCAGCAACTGGCTGTGGTTGAGACGGAAAGATTC